GTATTAATTTATCTCTAAACCCAGCATTTTAAATTCTCAGGAACGATCATTGCGGGAAAATTGTGGGCCGGGACTACGATTTTTGAACGATCGATGCGATAAAACGATAGTTCGAGGAACGATAGAAGCGGGAAAATGTAACATTATTTTATATGGGATGTATTCGGGACCGAACAAAACGGACGATGCATCCGGGAAAACGATAGTTCCGGGAACGATGGATAGAGGTTTCACTGTATTCCCACTCACATTATATTTATTTCTTACCATCATAATTGTGTTATAGAATGTTATCATTATTAGGGCCTTATTATTTATTACTATACTCTTTGAAAGAACTTATCCATCAATATTAAATTTGTTGTATATATCCTCAAAGTTTCACACCATAGCCATATTTGTAATTGTTGAATTATAAGCAATATTTTATACACAAGCTTAATTTGAAGGTTTGTTTATTATCTATTTTCACACCAATTAACATGCCTAATTCCAACTTATCATTAGTTACTGCTGTCAAACTGAAAGGTTTGGACAATTATCACATGGCTGTCATGTTATTATTTTACATTCTACTCAACAAAATTTCTATATTTTTCAATGATCTATTACCATTTCCAATCACAATAATAAAAGCAACTTCAATGTAAACAAGTCTGAAAAAATATTGCAAGTATTGTATTTGAGCTCCGGTCATGAAAACTAGCAATGGCTGGAGGTTCGTCGTGCTGACCACAAGTCACCCTATATCTGTTTGGATGATTGTTCACCTCTGCTTAGGCATGTGAACGTGAGGATAGCAGTCAAGCTAGTCAGCTTTGGCTCTCTGGAGCTGTTACGTCACGGATTTAATTTTTAATTGTATTTGAGCACTGAATCACCCTGCATTATATGCTTTAGAAGGAACACAAATCACATTCAATGCACCAATTGATCACAGTGTGTTCTTACCATGTATTCACCACCCACAATAGGAGTGCCACCGATGAGTTTATTCAGAGCTGTTACTTCACTCACAGGTCCAGCAATAAGACTGGTGCCAGTATCAGCAATTGCCTCACAACCAACAGCACAGAAGGAGCTGCTTCCAACTAGTACTCTGCAAATCAACAATTCTGGACAGACTTAACTATTGCACTTGGTTTTTACATCAAATCTGACATTATTACTTCAGTTTGCATTTATGCCAAATATATGGTGCAGTAGGATCAGAAATAAAATTGACACTGAATTCATGAAATATTATATTTGCAAAATAAGTTTCATTTTCAATCCAGCTCTCTCTCTATAAACTGATATTATGAGACAGTTAAACTCAAAGCAATCCTGTGCTTATCATATAACGATGATATAATGAAGTAAAATTTCATGTATTCTTAACTTCACCACTATCTGAACATCAGGAGTTGGTTTGCTAATTTATTATGAAATTCAAGTTAATGTAAAATCTAATTTAACAAACAAAATCAATGTACCTATAAAAGTAAAAAACTTCAAAACAACACAAAACTTTCAGATCATACAACACTGCCTGTGACTGGTCTCTGCAAATTATAAAACATTTAAAACTTGAAAACAATTTACTCAATAAGAATTCTTCAGACTGCAACAGGTTTTCAAAGCCTAGAAAAACATCTGTCATTCTAAGCGTCACATATTCAGAAACAAATCCTAGTGAACAGTTAGTGATATTGAAAGAAAAAATTCTATTTCCAGCAGTATATTCCCAAAGAACACGTGAAATCAAGTTATACAAACCACATGAAACGGCGGGATAAAAATACTATATGAATGTTTATTACATACAGAGCATTAATATGCAACCACTGATGTCTTACTACTTGCAGCATTGTGCTGAACTTTGTAGAAACACAATGACTGCATAATAAGATATCTCCTAATAACAAAACATTCTTAAAACCCATAAAGCATTCTAAACATATCACAATGTCTTTTAGGCAGACTGTTTCAACAGAGCAATGCCATTTTTTATACTGATTGTGTAGTTTGTAATTTTCTATGTGGTTTCTGTTTCAGACTCTGCACCTAATAGTTGCAAACAACTACTAATTTTTTAAGATGTTATCTCTTTGCAGTCATAACATTGTATTTTATGCAGCCAGGATTGCTATGGGATTTAAATACTCCTGAATTACTGAATACCTATAATACATAATCCCATTTCACTTTTCAAAGGAGTTAAAATTATTTGTACCAGATTGTAGTAGATAAAACATTCAATAATTAACTGCCCATATGAAGTGGCCAGCAGTATATATGAACCAACCAGACACATGACAAGAAATTCTGTCCATATGTCAACATACAACTGTGGGAGGAAATGTAGCGTGTCGATTAAAAACCAACATACGACAGAAAAGTGTTCATGACAAAAGAATGAATAACACCAGAACAAAGTCAAATTTGATACTTTCTTCTAACACTTCTTCTTATTCTTATGTAAGATTTGAGATTTCACAGCAGTGAGTATGAAGATTTCTGTCTTCTTATTCTTGCATCTACATGTGATTATGGATAACAGTATTACATATACTAACCTCCTCTTCTTCTTCTTCTTCTTTGCTGGTGCTACAACCTTGTGTGGGTCTTGGCTTCATCAAATATACTTACAAGTTTTATAAAATTTCCCTTAATATGGCAAAACAGGTATATGGAAGAAATATTTCTGCAGTTTCCTTAAATTAATGTAATTATAATTAGTTATTTGAACTCACTTGTCCATCTTGAATTGCCAGTATGCTTTTTTATCTACTGGCAAATAAGTGAAGTCTCCTGTGTAGTGTTTGGGATCTGAACCACCAAGAATTAGCTCACCTCCTTGTGGTGCATCAGGGTCTCTGGTGAGAAAACAAACGTACAATTTTACTTTTCTGATTTCAAATCAGTATTACCAAGTACAATTTCAGGTCATCATGGCAACAAGTAACAAGTATGAAGGCTGTTTCTTTGTTGATAATTTTCATAGTTAGATATTTAAAAAACTGTGGAACTTGTGCATATGTTAGAATGACAATAGTTAGTAAATCAAATGAACTCCACAATCCTAAAAAGAAAAATACTGTCTGCAATACATCTACATCATTGAAGGTTAGCCTTTGTTATATGGAAATAGGACATAAAAACACCCCATACTATGGGGCTGCTACCAAGTGGACTTAAACTCCATTGTAAACAGTTTGGTGGTATGCTAGTACAAAGAGTTTGACTGCATATAAACAGTGATGCACAGATTATAAAGGTTAATGTCCTTTTAATTACTTTTATTACAAAAGAATTAGGAGAATTTTATTAAATTACATGTACTGCACACCTTCCCTGCTGCAGAACCAATTACCTTATAACACCTGCCCAGTTTACTCATTTTCTCCAACTCCAGTCCCTTTCTTCGTCAAAGTCAAGTGTCACAAAAAATAAGCCAATTTTATTATTTCAATGTTGTAATTTTTGTTGACACAGGTGCACCTAACTTTCAAATAATGTATACCATGAAATGCGTTCATGCACTGAACATTCATAAGATAAGTTAATTCTTCGACTACAAAATATGTAAACTATGTTAATACATTCCTGCATCATTATCAAAGATAATTTTCCTCATATAACTGTAGCAAAAAATTTAAAGATTAGAATAAGTTAATAATAAAACGGAAACTTCATAAAATGTCTTCATTTATGCACAGCACATCAACTGTTTTACAAAACAAGTATTGAATTGTTCCGAAGAACTGGGGAGGAA